AAACACTACGAAACACACTCTGCCTCCAAATTCGGAGCATGCGCAGCGAACCCGATGCGGCCCCCCCCCACCCCCACACCATCCGTGTCAAAAAACAAGACAGAGTACACTTGGCGGCGGCGGCGGCTGCGGCGGGGGCGGGGGCGGCGGCGGCGGCGGCAGCGGTGGCGGCAGCGGCTGCGGCGGCAGCGGCTGCGGCGGCGGCGATTCGGCAGCGGGGGCGGCGGCGGGCGGCGGCGGGCGGCGGCGGAGGCGGCGGCGGCGGATTCGCCCCCAGTAGCTGCCCATCCAAACGCGACTGCTGCATAAGATGCGGTTCGGGCCAGGCTCGGGTGCTGCGTATGTGTTGGGTGGGCGGGTGAGAGTGAGCGAGACGGCTTGCGGGCGGGGAGGGGATCTTGATCACTGTTCCCTATTAATAAACACCCCCTCCCCCAGGCGACCGGGGGCCAACCCGAGTCCATGACGACCTCCCCCCACCATCCCTTGTAAAAAACAATACAAAACACACTCTGCCTCCAAATTCGGAACATGCGCAGCCAACCCGATGCGGCCCCCCCCACCATCCCTATCAAACAATGGAGAATACACTTGGCGGCGGTGGCGGCTGCGGCGGCTGCGGCGGCTGCGGCGGCTGCGGCGGCTGCGGCGGCTGCGGCGGCGGCGGCGGCGAGGGCGGCGGCGGCGGCGGCGGCTGGTTGGCGGCTAGCGGGATGGCGGCCGGCTGTCGGCGGCGGTGGTAGCGGTCGGCGGGCAGCTGGCCTGCGGCGCGGCTGCGGTTTGGCAGCGGGGGGCGGCGCGGCGGCGGCGGCTAGAGCGCGGCGGCGGGCGCGGCGGCGGCGGTGCGGGCCGGCCGCGGCGGGGGGCGGTCGGCGCGGCGGCGGTAGGGCAGCGGCGGGCGGGGGCGGCGGCGGCGGCAGCGGCGGCGGCGGCGGCGGCGGAAACGGCGGCGGCGGCGGCGGCGGATTGGCCCCAAGTAGCTGCCCATCCAAAGACGACTGCTGAATATGCCGAGGCTCGGGCCAGGCTCGGGTGCTGCGTATGTGTTGGGAGGGCGGGTGGGAGTGAGCAAGACGGCTTGCGGGCAGGGGGGGGTCTTGACCCCCTGACAAGTACTCAATATGAATATACTCTCCCTCTTCCCCTGATGGCGTCCGGGTGATGGCCGCGCACCCTCCGCGTACTGTTTTTTTACACACAGGATGCCCGGGAAATCCCGGGAAACGACTCTCGCTGAGGCGCCGGCGTCATTTTTTCCCAAAATGCTGCTCTCGCGCCGGCGTCATTTTTTCCCAAAATGCTGCTCTCGTTGAGGCGCCGGCCTCATTTCTGCTCCCGAATCCTTCCCCTGATGGCGTCCGGGTGATGGCCGCGCACCCTCCGCGTACTGTTTTTTTACACACAGGATGCCCGGGAAATCCCGGGAAACGACTCTCGCTGAGGCGCCGGCGTCATTTTTTCCCAAAATGCTGCTCTCGTTGAGGCGCCGGCCTCATTTCTGCTCCCGAATCGTTCCGAATCGTGCTCCCGCTGCAGCGTGGGCCTCATTTTCGGATCGGTGCTTGGCCTCCGTCGTTCAGGATGGCGTTCTCGCCCCAGCGCGGGCCTTTTTCTCGCGCGCCCATCCGCCCGCCACCACCGCGCCCGCACCGCCACCACCACACCACCACCACCACCACCACCCACCACCCACCACCACCACCACCACCACCACAACAGCACCAGCACCAGCACCAGTACCACCACCACCACCACCAGCACCAGCACCACCACCAGCCCACCACCACCACCACCACCACCACCACCACCACCACCACCACACACCACCACACCACCACCACCACCACCACCACAACCACCACCACACCCACACCACCACAGCACACCACCACCAGCACCACCACCACCACCACACACCACCACCACCACCACCACCACCACCACCACTACCACCACCACCACCACCACCACCACGACAACCACGCACACACGCACGCACGCACGCACGTGCACCACCACCCACTACGCACGCGCGCGCGGAGCCACAGGTCCGCTACGACACGCGTCCGCGCATGGAGAAAATCAGCGCCATGGTAAGGGATGGGAGGGAGGGGTAGGACGTCAGATATGACGCGAGCGCACCTAGCTTGTCCCTACCCCCTCCCCTGGACCTGGACAAGGGGGTGTCGCGAGTCGTCGGAGCGTCCAAAACGGCTTCGGCGAAGAAACCAAAATCATGGATTCCCAACCATCCTGTGGTGTTTGGTCTTCGTTTTGAAGAGAGACAACGCCCCGCGTTCCTTCTTCCTCCCGCTGCCCCCTCCCTCCTCCTCGCATCATCGTCATCATCATCATCACCATCATCATCACCATCACGAAGATCGTGGCCCCCTAGGAGCTCCACCGAAGGCGCCAGTAGCAAAGTGCGCATGGCGGCCTCGGGCCATTTCGGCACACCCCTCACGGCGCCACTAGCAAAGTGCGCATGGCGGCCTCGGGCCATTTCGGCACACCCCTCACGAGGATCGTGGCCCCATAGGAGCTCCACCGAAGGCGCCAGTAGCAAAGTGCGCATGGCGACCTCGGGCTATTCCGGCACACCCCATCACGAGGATCGTGGCCCCATAGGAGCTCCACCGAAGGCGCCAGTAGCAAAGTGCGCATGGCGGCCTCGGGCCATTTCGGCACACCCCTCACGAGGACCGTGGCCCCATAGGAGCTCCACCGAAAGCGTTAGTAGCAAAGTGTGCATGGCGGCCTCGGGCCATTTCGGCACACCCCTTCACGAGGATCGTGGCCCCGTTGGAGCTCCACCGAAGGCGCCAGTAGCAAAGTGCGCATGGCGGCCTCGGGCCATTTCGGCACACCCCTCACGAGGATCGTGGCCCCGTAGGAGCTCCACCGAAGGCGCCAGTAGCAAAGTGTGCATGGCGGCCTCGGGCCAATTCGGCACACCCCTCGCGAGGATTGTGGCCCTGCAGGGAGCTCCACCGAAGGCGCCAGTAGCAAAGTGCGCATGGCGGCCTCGGGCCATTTCGGCACACTGCTCACGGGGTTCGTGGCCCCATGGGAGCTCCACCGAAGGCGCCACTAGCAAAGTGCGCATGGCGGCCTCGGGCCATTTCGGCACACCCCTCGCGAGGATCGTGGCCCCATAGGAGCTCCACCGAAGGCGCCACTGGCAAAGTGCGCATGGCGGCCTCGGGCCATTTCGGCACGCGCCCCTCGCGAGGATTGTGGCTCTGCAGGGAGCTCCGCCGAAGGTCCCAGTGGCAGGGTTCGCATGGCGGCCTCGGGCCATTTCGGCACACCCCTCGCGAGGATCGTGGCCCCACAGGGAGCTCCACCGAAGGCGCCATCAGCAGGGTTCGCATGGCGGCCTCGGGCCATTTCGGCACACTCCTCGCGAGGATTGTGGCCACGTGGGGAGCTCCACCGAAAGCACCAGTGACAGGGTTCGCATGGCGGCCTCGGGCCATTTCGGCACACCCCTCACGAGGATCGTGGCCCCGTAGGGAGCTCCACCGGAGGCCCCCAGTGGCAGGGTTCGCACGGCGGCCCCGGGCCATGTCGGCACACCCCTCACGAGGGTCGTGGCCCCTTCGGGAGCTCCACCGAAGGCCCCCAGTGGCGGGGCTCCCATGGCGGCCCCGGGCCATGTCGGCACACCCCTCACGAGGATCGTGGCCCCATAGTTGTGCTGCTTCAACAACCGCGCTTGGGCGTCGTACTCCGCCTTCTCGACGTGCACCGACACCTCCTCCCCCATGGTTCTCAAAACCCTCTCCTGCTTCTGCTCCTCGGTCAGAGGGGCGCCGTCTTTGTCGTCGTCGGCGCCCGCGAAGACGGCCACGAACGTGTTCCTGAGCATGTCGGGCTCCGGCGGGAAGCCGTGGCCACGTAGGGAGGGCGGGCGAAGACGGTATTCACAATTGCGATATTCACAACTGCGTCCAGGCTAATTGTAATAAGGTTTTGGCCCCATTTTGGCCTTCCGAGGGGGCGACTCTAATCCGTACCCCCCCCCTCTTTGATCGATCTCCTCCGAGATGGCCCCAAGAGCGCTCCCAAGGCTCCCAAGGGTGCCCCAAGAGGGCTCCAAGAGGTGGCCAGGAGGCCCCAAGAGGCCCCCAAGAGGCCCCCAGGATGCCCCCAAGAGACCTCCAAGAGACCTCCAAGAAACCTCCAAGAGTCCCCAAAAGGTCCCCCAGAGGCACCCAAGACGCTCCAAGAGGACTCGGCGACAATGCCAAAATCGTTGATTTTACAAAAAGGTTTTGGCCACATTTTGGCCTCCTGGGGGGGACACCTCTTCATATGACCCCAGAAGCGCACGGGAGAGCCACAGGTGATCTCCAAGATGGCTCAAGATTTCCCAAAATGCCTCAAGATGGCGCCCACGATGTTCCAAGAGGCCCCAAGACCGTTCCAAGACGGCTCCAAGTGGCCAAAAAGCTCGCCCAGGAGGCCCCGAAAAAGGCCCCAATCCTCCCAAAACCTTAGGACAATCAGTGTTTTTCGCTTTCTCGCCGAGGCCTCCACATGGCTCCAAGATGGCCCACGAGGGCTCCAAAAGCGCTCCCAAGGCTCCCAAGAGCGCTTCAAGAGGGCCCCAAGAGACGTCCGGGAGGCCCCAGAATGCCTCAACAGGCGCCCAAGAGGCCTTCAAGAGGCTCCCAAGAGAACCCCAAGAGGCCAGAGGCGCTCCCAGAGGCGTCCGGGACGGCCAAAAGGCCCCCTAAGACGCTCCAAGCAACCTCCACTGGGGGACCCTTCCTCTGTGTGCTGCCCCGCTTCCCTGATCGAGGCAATTCCTCTGGGCATCGTTTCTGGATGGGCTGGTAGGGATTCTTTTTTCGGTCGCGGCCGCGAGACGACGGTCAGGCGGCAAGAGCAAAGTCCGGGACGCGAGCAAGGCGAATTAGCTAAGACAGGCGCAGGCCGGCTGGCCCGCTCAGACAGCAGCTGCGAAGCTGAGGGGGGTGGAGCTGACGGCGAACGGCGCCCTGCAAGCTCGGGCACGTGAACAGGACAAAGTGTCTCGGAATTCAATGCTTGCCATGGAGCAACCCACACAGAAGAGACGAGGACCACGATGGTCAAGTCCGTCGGCTGGTAGGGATTCGCGAAACGTCAGCAATTGCTGGACGGTCCCGAGGCCCGGTGAGGCTCCCCAGAGGCCGAAGACGGCGAAAAGCTCCCGTCGTCGTCGTCGTCGTCGTCGTCGTCGTCGTCGTCGTCGTCGGCGTCGTCGTCGTCGTCGTCGTCGTCGTCGTCGTCGTCGTCGTCGTTTTTTGTTTGTTGCTGTTGTGTCTGTTGTTCTTGCTGTTGTTGTTGTGCTTGTGTTTGTGTTTGTGTTTGTGATGGTGTTTGTGTTTGTGGTTGTTGGTGTTGGTGTTGGTGTTGTTGTTGCTGTTGCTGTTGTTGTCGTTGTTCTTGTGGTTGTGGTTGTGGTTGTGGTTGCGGTTGCGGTTGTGATTGTTGTTGTTGTGATTGTTGTTGTTGTGATTGTTGTTGTTGTTGTTGTTGTTGTTGTTGTTGTTGTTGTTGTTGTTGTTGTTGTTGTTATTGTTCTTGTTGTTGCTGTTGTTGTTGTTGTTGCTGTTGTTTGTTTTCTTGCTTGTTGTCTTGTTGTTTTGTCTTTTGGCTTGATGCCGCGAGCAGCGGGCTGCGCTCCGAGCGGCGGGGCCAGGGCCGTCGCGCGCCGGAGGCGGGCCCTCCGAGGCCCCGGCTCCTCCAGCAGGCAGCGCAGCTGCTGGTCCTCCCGGCCGCGGAGGGATAAGGAGCGGAGGAAGGAGCTGTAAAACGACGCGAGGATCGGGACAAAATCGGATCGGGATAATTCGAAATCTCTGAGAAGCGGCGGGTTTGGAGGATGTATTGGGCGCCGCGGCCGCTCCAGAGCGTTCCGGAACGCTCTGAGAGCGCTCCGGAACGCTCTGGAGCGATTTATCCCGATCCTAGCCCTGTTTTAAGCTGGGGGGATGACAGCATGCCCCGTCCCCCTCGCGCCGTGAAGAATCACGGCGGGAGGCTTATCCCAATCTTCGGCCTCCGGGGGCCCTGCCCCGGCCTCGGGAGCGCCGAAAAACAACTCTCGGGATGACAAACCGGCCCCCTGGAAGGGGTCCAGACCTCTGGGGGTCGACGTTTTGAATAAATCACGACGTCGGGGGTCTGAGTACGGTGAGGGCATTGGATAAAAACCTTTGCAAAAATCCATGGTCTGGAAACCTGTGTCTCCTATCGTGGATCGGCCACGGACATCTCCGCTGCCCGCATCAGACAAGGGACACTCCAAGGTCTCAAGCCCCCTGGCCACATTCCTTGACGAACGCCTCCACCGCATCGAGGACGAGTGGACGGCGGCAGAGACGGTCAGCAGAAGAGGAAAGGCACGCCCGACCAGTGACGATTCGGGCGGTAGGGTCGCTATAAGACCAGGAGGAGACGGCGTAAACTGCGACGAAGGCATCGGATGATGATGATGTTGTTGATGATGATGATGATGATGGTGGTGGTGATGATGATGATGATGGTGATGCTGATGATGCTGAGCTTGGCGATTATGGTAATGCTGATGCTGATGATGATGACGATGATGGTGGTGATGATGATGCTGATGATGATGGTGATGATGCTGATGGTGGTGGCGGTGGTGGCGGTGTTATGTTTTTGGGTTTTTGGATGCCCGCCTTGATATCACGGGAGCGTCAGAGCCAACCTTGGGCAGCTGACTGACACGCGCCAATGGCGACATGGCACGTGACAGCGCTTACTCTACGCTGTCGTTGGTGCTCTCGCCTCTCGTCCTACGCATTGGCATGCTCGCTTTCTGACAATTCCTCCTCGCCGCCTCCCCGACCTCTGCTGCCGTCCGTGCCATCTGCGCAGGCACCTGGTACCTTCGAGCATGTGGGCCGCTCCAGAAACAATACATCAAACAACGGTGTCACCTCTTGGGAGGCAAATTGTTGCTTCCGCCAGCCTTCAGCCAACGGAGGCGGCCTCCTCTTCTTTCCGCTGCCGGGCGGCCTCCTTCTCTTTCCGCTGCCGGCCGCCGAGGCCGAGATGCCGACTACAGCGATCCTCGAAGGCGAGGCCTTTTCTGGAGCGCCTCACGTGGGCCCTGCCCTGGGTGTTCCCAAACGCAGGTGCCCCCATGACAGCACCGTCCCTGGAGATGGCACCTGCGGTGCTCCGCATCGTCTGGCTCGCAGCCCTCCCTCCTCCTCTGTCCACTCGGAGCTCCAGCACGAGCTCCAGAACCGCCTGCCTTAGGCTTTGCTTTCTTTTGGGGCGCTGATCCTCATACTCTTGGCGGTTGGGCCGGTGGTGACGATAGTGACCATGACGGCGACGATGAAGATGATGAGGGTGGAGGAGCACGAGGATGGAGGAGACAGGTTAGAAATACGATGCTGGCGAGGAGCCAATGGGAAGGAGGAGCACGAGGAAGAGCCACGCGCCCAGTGCAAAGCGCCAGCCCCCTGACAGCTTCTGGCGAAGTCTGCCTCTCCTGCCGCGTCTGCAGGACAGGAGAACCCTGCGAGGAGGACAGGAGGAGGATCGGAGAAGGGTAGGAGGAGGACTGGATGAGGACAGGAGGAGGATAGGAGGACTGAGGGATAGGGGAAGGAGGAGGAAACGAGCGTAAGAGAGGAGGAGGAGGACGAAGAGGAGGAGGAGGAGGACGAAGAGGAGGAGGAGGAGGAGGAGGAGGCAGAGGAGGAGGGGGAGGAGGGGGAGCAGGAGGAGGCTTGACGCTGCAATGGATTGAAGGCCGACTAGCCCAAAGGAGGATGAGGAGGAGGAGGAGAAGGAGGAGGAGGATGAGAAGGTGAAGGAGGAGGAGGATGAGAAAGTGAAGGAGGAAGGAAATGACGAGGAGCACCAGGATCATGAGGAGGGGATAGGGGAGGAAGGCACTGCAGCGAGGGAAGGGGGGGGGGGCGGGGCGGGACGGGTTCAGCCACCCGGATGTTGCGATTTTTCACGACGTGACCCTCAGACGTCTGGACCCCTCCTCGCCCGCCCCCTCGCACTCCTCCTACCCCCCGCCCTCCTCCCTCGCCCTTCTTCCCCTCGCCCTTCTTCCCCTCGCCCTCCTCCATCCCCCCGCCCTCCTCCCTTGCCCTCCTCCCCCTCGCCCTCCTCCCCCTCCTTCCGAGTCGTTATCTGACGGCTCCAGAAGCCCAGTGAGGGCCCCCGGAGGACGAAACCAGCGACGAACCTCCCGCCGCGTTTTTTGTAGTTGTTGTTGTTGTTGTAGTTGTTGTTGTTGTTGTTGTTGTTGTTGTTGTTGTTGTTGTTGTGCTTGGTGTTTGTTGTTTGTTGTTGTTTATTGTTTATTGTTTGTTGTTTGCTGTTAGTTGTTCGTTGTTTGTTGTTTGTTGGTTGCTGCTGTTGTTGTTGTTGTTGTTGTTGTTGTTGAACATTATTACTTCTAAAGAATAATTATTGTTGGGACCCCTGGTGCGCGACCTCTGCGCCGCGCCTAGGCCGCAGCTACATTTTCATCATTTTTTCGCGAAAGCTTCAGAAAAGTGGATTGGTCCGGATCCGGTTTTTTGTTACGTGGCGTTTTCCCTTGCAAAAAACACTATAAAATGAAAATTCTTGTTCTTACTTGATCAAATTTCAAGAATCCCTTGCAAAAAATAAGGTAAAGTGGACATTCGCGCGCGCAAGACGAAATCCTTCCAAAACCTTAGGTTTCGTAACGATTTTAACATAAAAACATCAAAAACCCAATGGTTTTTTAAGAAAAAATTGTCAAAATGTCCTTCCGCGCGCGCTGTCCGAATCCCACAAAACCAATGGTTTTTCAACATTTATGTTACATGAGCTCGCGCGAGCTACTTTTTCTTGTTCTAACATAATCAAATTTCAATAATCCCTTGCAAAAAATAAGGTAAAGTGGACATTCGCGCGCGCAAGACGAAATCCTTCCAGAACCTTAGGTTTCGTAACGATTTCAACATAAAAACATCAAAAACCCAATGGTTTTTCAAAAAAAAATGTCCAAATTTCATCCCGCGCGCGCTGTCCGACTCCCACAAAACCAATGGTTTTTCAACATTTATGTTACATGAGCTCGCGCGAGCTACTTTTTCTTGTTCTAACATAATCAAATTTCAATACTCCCTTGCAAAAAAAAGTAAAGTGGACATTCGCGCGCGCAAGACCAACAAAAAACACGACGATCTCAGGAACTTGCCCCAAAAATGTGACCAACTCCGCTCTCTCTGTCTCTCTCTCTGTCTGCTCTCTGTCTCTCTCTCTGTCTGTCTGTGTCATGTATTGTATGTCACAATTGCAGGATGCTGGGCACACGCGCGCCCCGAATAAGTGACCAAGTTCTGTGGGTGTGTACCCCACGCCAGTGTAGTAGCCACGGTCGTCCGCACGCCACGAAGTGAAGTGTCCCAACGTCATAGGGCGGGAAGCTGGGTTTGGGTGGTCGCGAAGAGTCGTTTGGATATTTGGTAGAGCTTGAACTGCCCCCCCACGAAGTGGGGGTATTGTCTCGCGTCGCATGAAAACCCTGGCACTGGTGAGAACACTGAGCGTTCGGGTAAAATGATTGTTGTTGTTGTTGTTGTTGTTGTTGTTGTTGTTGTTGTTGTTGTTGTTGTTGTTGTTTTTGGTGTCTGTTGTTTGTTGTTTGTTGTTGGTGTGTGTGTGTGTGTTGTGGACGCCCTATCCGCCAGCGCAGTCCTTCTGCCTAGCCGCCGAAGCAACAATGTGTGTGTGTTGTGTGTGTGTGTGTCTTCTGTCTATCTGTCTGTCTGTCTGTCTGTCTGTCTGTCTGTCTGTCTGTCTGTCTGTCTGTCTGTCTGTCTGTCTGTCTGTCTGTCTCTCTCTGTCTGTCTCTGTCTGTTTGCTTGTTTGTTTGTTTATTGTGTGTCTGTGTGTTCTTTTCCCCCGCGCGATGGGGGTCTGGCGAGGGGGGCGGGGGAGGGGCGGAGGGCGGGGCCAGGCGCAGGCCACGCCGAGCGCCCTCCCGCCGAGGTCCTGCACGAAGAGGCACAGCACCTCGGCGGCGGGCTCCCCCCCCCCGGAGCGCGCCGCGCGCCCCGTGCAGACCGACGCCTCGAACAAACGCTGGCGCGGGCGGGGCCGACGCCCAGACCCCCCATCGGGCAATGAACAGATCACGACGCGAAGTTTTTTGGCTCTTTTCGGCCTCCGGGGGCCCTCCCTGGCCCCCGGGAGCGTCCCAAGACGACTCGGGACGAAAAACCTGAGTGCCGGGGAGCGGGCCGAGACCTCCAGGGGCCGACGTGATGAAACAAATAATGACGTCGGGGGGGCCTCCCAGAGCCTTCCAAGGGTGCGCTCTGGCCGGGGGGGGGGATCTCGGCGCGGAGCCAGCCGTGGCCAAGGCGGGGCCCGGGCTCGGCCCGGAGGGCGGCTGCACAGCTTCTGGGCCCACGGAGGGCCAGGCCAGGGGCCACAGTGGGCCGGGGCAGCCGGGCCTGGGACAGACGCACCTCCCTCAGGGACGTGAGGCCCTCCGCCGGCCAACACGCCCCCAGGCCATGAGAGCACTCGAGGGCCCCCCCCCCCCAGGAGGCACGAGAGCAAGCACGAAGAACATCAGAGTACCGTCCCAGAACCGACCTCGATGTGATACCTCGGTCCGACCGTGTGGATTTCGCCGCCCGCTAAAACGCCTGCCCCTACGACACGAGCCCGCCGTGTGGGCCTCGGGATCTACTGACCCGTGCCAACCCAGACCAGATCCTGCAGGATCCAACAAAATCCTGCGCCCAAGCCGGGGTGCGTGCAGCCCGGGCTTTACAGGATCCTGCAATATCTGGCGCTCTGGCTGACCCAGAGTCCCAGACTCCCGACGTCGTGATTTTTTCATGACGTGACCCCCAGACGTCCAGCCCATCCCAGGGAATGTTTTCTTTGACGGCCCCGAGGCCTGGGGGAAGGGCCCCCGGATCCCGAAACTAGCGCAGAGCGTCCCGCCGTCATGTTTCAACAACGCGAGGTCTCCTGCTCGTCCTCCTCCTGCTCGTCCTCCTCGTCCTCCTCCTCCTCCTCCTCCTCTTCCTCCTCCTCCTCCTCCTCCTTCTGTTCCTCCGGGTTTGCACCGACCCCCGTCTCTTGAGTTCCGAGGGCCTCGGAGGCAGGGCCTCCCGGGCCCGGAGCCGCCGGAGGAGGAGGAGGAGGAGGAGGAGGAGGAGGAGGAGGAGGAGGAGGAGGAGGAGGAGGGGCCTCGGAGGCAGGGCCTCCCCAAACCGCCCCTTCTGCCCCCCCTCTCGAAGGGAGGCGGCCGACCCCCCTGCGCGCACGGGGTCCGCTGCCCGCGCCCCGCGCCCGCTGCCCGCGCCCCCTTCGCCGCTCCGTGCCAGCGCGAGGGCAGGCCCCGAGCACCGCGGGCGGCCCCTCCCCGAGACCCAGACCCCCCTCGGGCAGGGACCAGACAAAAATCACGATGGGGGGCTTTCTGCGATTTTCGGACTCTGGGGGCCCCTACCCGCCCTCGGGACCGCCGAAAAACGACCCAGGATGAAAAACCGGTCCAGGGGAATGGGTCGAGACCTCCAGGGGTCGACGTTATGAACAAATCATGACGTCGGGGGTCTGGAGATCCTGGGGTCTCCCTTTTTCGAGCCGTGCGTTTTCTCGTCAGGGTGGGGGCCGTTGAGCCCTCGCAGATCCATCCAGCTGGAAAAATTACGCAGCAAGATGGGGTCCAGGGGGCTCCGGTCGTGATTTTCTACGATGTCGCAATTTCATCGCGCCGTCGGATCTCAGCGTCGTGCTGCCATGAAGGGCGCTGGATGAGGAACGACGCCGGCCAGCCGCAGCCGCGCTCCCCGCCCTCGCCTTCGCCCTGGCCTCGCCGCTCCGCTGGCGAGGGCAGGTCCGAGCACCGCGGATAGCCACGAGTGCAGCCATCGTGCTGCCACGACGAGCTCTACGCCGGGCGCGACACAGAGGGCTAAACGATGACATAAACATAACAGCTCGGAGGTCCGCGCGGATCTCTTGGATCGGTGCTGGCCCTCCCTAGCGGCGCCTCTGGCGCCGCCCCTGGTCCGAGCACCGCGGATATCCACGAGGGCGGCCATCGTGTTGCTATGGAGCGCTGGAGGAGGAACGGACCCCGAGCGACCCGAAGCGGTGGCTTGCGCGGGCCGTCCGCGCGGCACGCAGCACTGGGAACAAGGGCGCCTACGCGAGACTTTGCGCGTGGAGCTTTCGGGGGCGCGCAGACATGGATTAACGATCCATGGATTTGGCGCGCGGTCGCCAAATCCATGGACCGGGGGAGGTGCCCTCCGCACAATGCGGAAGGTGCCGCCTCGTTCGGCGGCGGAAATCCGCGATTTCCAATGGAAACGGGACCGTCGCTAATCCAAGCCCCCTTGATCCATGTTTGCGATCGCCTGAAAGTTGTGGGCCAATGTCGGCGCAACTAACCTCGTTTTTTTTTTTTTCCGTCGCTCAACGGGTGGAGCCTTGGCCCCCGGGGGGATCCGTCACGTCGACGATCTCTTAGGGGGGCGCCGAAGCCGATGGGCCACCCCCATGGGGGGGTTAAGGACCATTTTAAACTTTTTTCAGTCGGCGGCGAGGCAGCGTTGGTTGCACCAGCGATAGGGCTAGACGGGGGCACCGAAAAGCGAAGTGGCCAGCATGCAAGAGTGGGAAGAGGGCAGAGCGGGCGGCCGCGGGGGGGGGAGGGGAAGACAAGGCCAAAGACCATCAAAAATGGATCCGGGACGAAGAACCACCCCCGGGAAAGGGGTCGGGACCTCTGGGGCCGCGGATTGCAAACATTAGATTCGAGGGACAAAAAGCGGCATAAACGTGAAACTTTTGGCGCTCCGCGCGGATTTCTTGGATCCAAGAAATCCGCGCGGAGCGCCAACATTTTATGTTTACGGCGTTTTTCTTCTTCCTTCGAAGATCGGCGGATGTCTGGGAAGCCGACCAGCCACAGCTGGGGGAGCTGTGTTCCTCACCGCCCTGGGGGAGCCCCGTCATATCGACGATCTCTCGAGGTCGATGGGTGCCGAAGCCGATGGGCCTCCCCCTCCTCCTCCTCCTCCTCCTCCTGCTCCTCCTCCTCATCATCATCATCATTATCATCAATAGCATCCTCATCCTCATCCTCATCCTCATCCTCATCCTCATCATCATCCTCCTCCTCCTCCTCCTCCTCCCCTTCTTCCTCCTCCTCCTCCTCATCATCACCATCATCATCATCATCATCATCATCATCATCATCATCATCATCATCATCATCATCATCATCATCATCATCATCATCATCATCATCATCATCATCGTCGTCGTCGTCGTCGTCGTCGTCGTCGTCGTCAACAGCATCATCATCATCATCATCATCATCATCATCATCATCAGCAGCATAGCAGCAGCATCAGCAGCAGCAGCATCATCATCATCATCATCATCATCATCATCATCATCATCCATCATCATCAATATCACTCCTCATCATCTCCTCCCTCCTTCCTCCTCCTCCTCCTCCTCCTCCTCCTCCTCCTCCTCCCCTCCTCCTCCTCTCTCTCCCCTCCTCCCTCCGCCTCTCCTCCTCCTCCTCCTCCTCCTCCTCCTCCTCCTCCTCCTCCTCCTCCTCCTCCCCCTCCTCCTCATCATGCTTCTCCTCCTCCTCCCCTTCGTCTGGGGTGACAGGGCCGCGGCTCCCTCGTCTGTGGCCGCGGCCTGCGCTGTGCGGAGGCCTCTCCCTGGCCTCGGGGAGCCCTCGGCCGCGCAGAAGCCCGAGGATCGGCGGCGGGTCCGGGGCGGCAGCGGGGAGGGGCGGGCGACGTCCCCCCGCGGCTTCCGAGGAGCGTCTCGAGCCTCGGCCACGAAGAGGCGCCCCCGAGCCAGGCCCGAGGATCGGCGGCGAGCCCGGGGGGCGGGAGGGGCGACGGGGGCGGGCCTCCTCGGCGCCGCGCAGGAGTGACCCTGGGCAGGAGCGTAAGAGTGACCTCTGGCGCGCGGATTTCTTGGGGGGGGGCAACACGCAAGCGCGCGAGGCGCTGCCATCGCCCGACGTTCGGTGATCGGGGGGCACAAATGGGCCCGCAGCAGCGGTCACTCCGGCGAAGGGCCACTCCTAATTACGCAGAGCCAACCTTCTCAGAAGGCTTGGAAGTCCCCTGGCCTTCTGAGAAGCTTCTTTAAGCCTCCCGCGAAGACACGGAGAGAACCGCTCAGAAGGCCGGAGGGCTTCTGAGAGGCCCCGCCGCCTTCTGGGAGGGCCTGCCCTTTGTCACTTTCTCCTCCGCGCTCGCCGCCGAGAGGAGCTGCCCGACAGCCAGAACCTGTCCCGAGCCCGAAGCGGCCCTGAATCTCAGCGCCTCGGCTGCAGGCGACCTCACAGGCAGACAGCTTGAGGACCAGCAGGCTGCACACGCAGGATCCCTCGGAGGTCTGCGCGGATCTCTCCGACCGCTTCTGCTCGTGCAACCTGTTGGTCTCCGAGCAGCCTGGAGCGATGCTCGGCGACTTTTGAAGGCTCCGCGCCCGCGCAGAACGTGCGCTCACATGCGGTCGACATGCTACGTATCCGCTGGGCATTTTCTCAGAGTGGACGGCTCAGGGTGAACTCCACATGGGCTTTCGCACCTCGAAGCTCAATCCGCCTTGTGGTTCACCTTGTGCAGATGCAAACCTCGAAAATCAATCGAAACGGCGTTTCAGACTTCACCCTTTGCCCTCCACCCGAAAGAAAGTGCTCGGATCCAGGCCCCCGCTCACGCCCCGACCCCCACGAGGGGCCAGAGCGGGGAGTTGATAGAATTCCGGCCTCGTTTGCTCCATCCACGCCCTGCTGCACCTGGCGCCCAGAGTGCCGGGCAGCAGCAGGGGTGTGGATCCAACGCCGATCGCCGAGCTCAGAGCATCCTCGAGCGGGACACGGTGGCCGTGCTTCCCTGGGCAGCCTGGCACGAGCCGGGGGCAGCTGGCCCGCCGAGTGCTGAGGTATCGTGGCCCGCCGCCGATGCATCTGCAACACTGGGGTCCCGCCCCCCTCTCCCTCCCACTCCCAATCCCCCTCCTCCCCCCCCTATCCACCTCCTGCTCCTCGTCCTCCTTCTCCTCGTCCTGCCCCCTTCCTGGCGGTAAAGGTGCTGCGGTGGTGGGCTGCGTGGCGTTCGGTGAGGAAGCAGCGATGGCGCCGCCCGCGTCCGCGACCCTGGCATGGCACGCGTACCCGTGCGGACGTTGTGGTGGGAAGCGGCGGGGGCAAGCTGGCAAGTTTTTCTTGGCCAAGCCGGCCAAATGCTCACCTGGAGGACTGGCATCACTTGGTGGCCTGCTGGTCCTTCTGCTCCCACGGGGCCTTCGCCTCAAGGATGCAAGCGACCTCGGGGATCTACTGACCCGAGTCAATCCAGACCCGGGTCTGTCAAGCTTTGCAGGATCCTGCAAGGTCCTGCAGGATCCTGCGCCCCAACCCAAGTCAATGCGACCCTGGCCCTGCAGGATCCTGCAAGATTCGGCGCTCTGGCTGACCCCTGTGTGCATTGACCCCTGTCTCTTGAGCTCCGATGACCGCCGCGCTCGGGTCTGCTGGAAGTGTTTCCCACCTCTTCATCATGCCCTCAACGACGTGCAGGGGGATCTCCTTACCCGTCTGCGCCTGCCTTGCCAGCAAGCGCTCCTTGATCACGTCGAAGCCAACCTGCGATGACGCCATGACGTCCTTGACAATCACACGGTAGCCGTGCGCCTGCGCCATCTTGGCGTACTCGCGCATCTCCCAGACGCGCGAGTTCGTGTTGTCCACGATGAGCGGGGTGACGCCCAGCTCCATGGCGATGTCGCAGCGCGCCTGGTTCCGCTCGTGGTGCCGCCTGATCTTGCTCATGTCGTAGGACGTGAGCTCCTCGCCCGTCTCCTGGTTGATGGGGCTGAAGAAGTCGTCCGTGGATAACACGAAAGCGCGGCTCATCGGGGCGATCTCGTCCAGGCGCGGCCCCACCCCGTTGGCAGCCAGGTGCTCGCGCAGGATGCCGTGGGCCACAGTGGACTTGCCCGAGGCGGGGACCCCCCGCATGATGTAGAGCGTGCGCTGGAAATTGGAGGCGGCCGGGGGGTCTGAGCTGCACCGAGAAAATCAGCCAAGACGGGGGGAGAGGGGCAAATCTGCGCAGAATCTGCTCCCAGGCCCTTCCCAGGGTCTGACCTGGCTGGGGCCCCAGAAAAAATCGGTCAGAGGGGGGATGAAGCCACGTCCGCTCAAAATCTGTCCCCGGACTCCTCTCGGGATCTGTCTGGTGGAGTTTCTCGCCCCGGGTTAATTTTTCGCGGTCTCGGGCCCGAGAAAAAAGGCCCCCAGAAGCCGCAAAAGGCAAACAGCCTTCTGGACCCCAGAAGATCGAACCTGCCCGCCCTTCCTGCTCGCTGGAGCCAATGCTGGGTTTATGTTGTCCCCATCGTACTTAAGGACTACATGCGAGAAGTAATTTCGAGCACCCAGAGAAGTGTCGAAGCAGTGTCTGCCCGACACGCTGGCTAAGTGCCGAACGAGTATCGCCTCCCAGGGCCCGAAATGTGAGAAACCTTCAATTCTGGTACTTCCTTGGTGCTCGCAGTTCTTTCCGGTGGTCAAGGCTAAAGTAAGCTGGATGGTCTAAAGGAAGCAAGCACGGCGTAAACATGAACTTGTGGAGCTCCGCGCGGATTTCTGGTATCTGCGCTGGACCCCCCTGTTTGGCGCGCGGGGCGCGCTAAGGGCGACGCCAGAAGGGGGGCCCAGCGCGGATCCAAGAAATCCGCGCAGAGCGCCAAAAGTTTATGTTCATGGCGTTTTTTCCCAAACATACTGCGTTGGGTTCCCGTTTTGAATAGAGCAGCTGCGGTCGCGACTCTTCTCCTCTCCTCTCCCGCCCCCTCCTCCTTTCCTCTTCCCCCCTGCTTCCTACATCGCTCGCTCCTGCGTGCCAGTTTCTCTCCTACCTCACCATCCCTGGGGGGCTGCGATCTGCGAAACTGTCGCCACTTTCGAGGGCTGCTGGGGGGCCCACCGGAGTGGGGTCATACGCAGATTCAGATTAGACCTCGCCATCCCTGGGGGGCTGCGATCTGCGAAACTATCGCCACTTTCGAGGGCTGCTGGGGGGCCCAGCGGAGTGGGGTCATACGCAGATTCAGATTCGACCTCGCCATCCCTGGGGGGCTGCGATCTGCGAAACTGTCACCACTTTCGAGGGCTGCTGGGGGGCCCCAGCGGACTGACGTCATACGCAGATTCAGATTCGACCTCGCCATCCCTGGGGGGCTGCGATCTGCGAAACTGTCACCACTTTCGAGGGCTGCCGGGGGCCCAGCGGAGTGGGGTCATACGCAGATTCAGATTCGACCTCGCCATCCCTGGGGGGCTGCGATCTGCGAAACTGTCACCACTTTCGAGGGCTGCTGGGGGGCCCCAGCGGACTGACGTCATACGCAGATTCAGATTAAACCTCGCCATCCCTGGGGGGGTGCGATCTGCGAAACTGTCAGCACTTTCGAGGGCTGCTGGGGAGCCCAGCGGAGTGACGTCATAGGCAAATCCGGATTAGACCTCGCCATCCCTGGGGGGCTGCGATCTGCGAAACTGTCACCACTTTCGAGGGCTGCTGGGGGGCCCAGCGGAGTGGGGTCATACGCAGGACCTCGCCATCCCTGGGGGGCTGTGATCTGCGAGCCTGTCACCACTTTCGAGAGCTGCGGGGGGCCCAGCGGAGTGGGGTCATACGCAGATTCAGATTCGACCTCGATATCCCTGGGGGGCTGTGATCTGCGAACCTGTCACCACTTTCGAGAGCTGCGGGGGGCCCAGCGGAGTGGGGTCATACGCAGATTCAGATTCGACCTCGATATCCCTGGGGGGCTGCGATCTGCGAAACTTTCGCCACTTTCGAGGGCTGCTGGGGGGCACAGCGGAGTGGGGCCATACGCATATTCGAATGAGACCTTGCCATCCCTGGGGGGCTGCGATCTGCGAGACTGTCACCACTTTCGAGGGCTGCCAGGGGCCCAGCGGAGTGGGGTCATACGCAGATTCAGATTTGACCTCGCCATCCCTGGGGGGCTGCGATCTGCGAAACTGTCGCCACTTTCGAGGGCTGCTGGGGGGGGCAGCGGAGTGGGGTCATACGCAGATTCAGATTAGACCTCGCCATCCCTGGGGGGCTGTGATCTGCGAAACTGTCACCACTTTCGAGGGCTGCTGGGGGGCCCAGCGGGGTGACGTCATACGCAGATTCAGGTTAGACCTCGCCATCCCTGGGGGGCTGCGAAACTGTCGCCACTTTCGAGGGCTGCTGGGGGGCCCAGCGGAGTGGGGTCATACGCATATTCAGATTCGACCTCGCCATCCCTGGGGGGCTGCGCTCTGCGAAACTGTCACCACTTTCGAGAGCTGCTGGGGGGCCCAGCGGAGTGACGTCATAGGCATATTCAAATTAGACCTCGCCATCCCTGGGGGGGCTGCGATCTGCGAAACGGTCGCCACTTTCGAGGGCTGCTGGGGGGCCCAGCGGACTGACGTCATACGCATATTCAGATTCCCCCCCCCATTCCATCCTTCTCCTGCCCCTCGTTCCATGCAACACATGCGCATCCCATGTAGTTTGCGCAGCAAATTACCGCGTCTACACTGCCGTTGTTCCTGCTAACGTTGGCCTACTCCTCTTGCCACTTGATGCACATGGGTTGGGTACGTCGCAGAGTAATTCTTCCTCGACGATCATAATGCTGGGTCGCCTCAGGAGGAGGATGAGGAGGAGGATGAGGAGGAGGAGGAGGAAGAGGAGGAGGAGGAGGAGGAGGATGAGGAGGCGGAGGAGGAGGAGGAGGAGGAGGAGGAGGAGGGAGGAGGAGGAGGAGGAGCAGGAGGTTGAGGAGGAGGAGGAGGAGGAGGAGGAGGAGGAGGAGGAGGAGGGGGAGGATGATGAAGAGGAGGAGGAGGACGAGGACGATGAAAAGAAAAAAGAGGAGCAGGCGGAGGAGGGGGAGGAGGAAGCGGACGCCGACGAGGAAGAGGGGGAATGAGGAAGAGGATTTTTTTCCCCGCGGGACTTCAACTCTATACGGGCGTGAACAGCGCCAGCTCCACGTAGATGATGAGGGAGACCACGAACACCAGGAGAAGAAGGAACAGCATCACGCCCACGTCAACGCCAAGTACGAGCGGATAAATGACGAGGCCCATCTTGAGCACCCAATCCAGAAACCATCGACCCATAGCATGCATGACAAGCCCCTCAGTGCGACCAGCACAAAAATGAAGATAAAGACGGTGTACCAGCTAACCGCTTACGATACCCACGTCTGAAACAACCAGTGCATACAGACACGCAGAGAAGCGAAGCATAGCGTCCATGAGAACAGGCGTCACCCAACGACGATTTGGATAAGGGCCCCCTGTAACATACTCCACGCAGACGAGGAAGAGGAGCATGGCCAGGGAGACGTAATACCGACACCCTCCGTAGCCACGAACGCGACGAGGATTGCAGTACAGATCACCCCGGATAACATAGACACGAAGTGCACAGCGATGTGGTACGCCCAGGGCGAGCCCCCTAACAAGAAGGAACCTGTCGGCAACGCCCTGGGACAAACTTGTCCAAGAAGAGCAGGAAGGATGTCCCTGACCAAGGCCCAGACCAGCCGAGCTGCCCAAAGAACAAGCGCGACGAACCAGACGACGCGGTACGCCCAGGGCGGGCCCCCTAACGAGAAGGAGCCTGTCGGCACCGCCCTGGGACGGAACTTGCCCAGCAAGTGCAGGAAATGGAAAACCCAAGGACCAACCATACTGCACGGATAGGCAAAGCACGACGTAGCGAAAAAGCCAACTGCAGTTGCCAGAATAGCGAGACCACGAAGAAATACACTACCTGGCAACTGGCACAAGCTGAGCATGAAGATGCCGGAGAACGGGAGCAGAATTTCTGGAGCAGCTCCACCACCACCAAACACAGCGAGGCGTGGCAAACATCCCCAGCGTTCACCTCCGAGAAGCTCTTGTCCTCGGCGGCGCTCAAGTAAGCACACCCTTTGGTGGTCCAGCCCTGGGGCATCCGCGGTGCGAGCGAGCTTGAACCTAACTGGCTCGAGCCGAGATGGTACTTGAGGAAGGAGGAAGAGGAGGAGGAGGAGGAGGAGGAGGAGGATTTTTCCTCGGAGGCCCTCGGGGCAGAACTAAAAACAAAAACCCTGCCTACCCCGATCGACGGGAGGCAGCTGCGGCTTCTTCCCGCGCACGAATGCGGGCCGCCAAGGCCTCCATGCCAGGAGTTGACACGAGGCGCATTCGGGAGGCCGTCTGTCTACCACTTTGTGTGGCCGCAACCTCCAAGACAAAACCAGCAGAGCGACGGCAGGGGTCCGTGACACGATTATCATTGTAAAAGTGCGGGTGAAGCCCCTGCTTGATACGGGATAAGGTCTGGGATCTCGTGCCCAGCTTTCCACAGCACCGCGTCGCCAGCAAAACACACCTCCTCGAAGAGTAGGCCCCACACCTATAGCAAAACACTAAAGGTTCCTGGGCTTCGTTGTCAATCATTGAGCACGCTAAGAGGTGCCCCCGTTCTTCGGCATCCTTAAGATTCCGAAAAGCAGTGGGGACCCCCTTGCACCCTACCATCGATCTGTCCTGGTCCCAGGTGATCGAGAAACACTTGGTGCACCTCCATGCTACTCCCGAGTCGATCTCGCACCAGTCGTGCCAACTCGGATCTCTGACAGCCGCCGTGGTCCGAGGGCCTCTGGCAGAGCGACGGAAATCCATCTTGGGGTAGCAGGAGAGCACTGCGTCAAACATTCGAACTAAAACTTTCACACGCTTCACGCACACGTCCAGCGCCTCGAGGTCTTCAGACGGGGCCCCTGGGTGAAGTGTCAGTGCATGCTTGGCTAGCCTATCAGCATCAGCATTCCCCAGTGCAATGCGCCGCTCCAAAATCGGCAAAGCCAAAATGACCTCCTCAGACCTATGGGCGGGGGTGTAGGACGCAGGCCCCAGACAGCCCTGAGGGTCAGATTCTATAGCAAGCCTCCTAA